AATACAAATAACTATACGCTGTTGTTTCTCCTCCCCTGCCCAAAATGGGCATGCTACTCATATAGATTAACATATGCTATAGGGAATTAAAAATAAATGTAAATCTTAGGGATATTGACAGTTAACAACCCAAAAGAAATTAAGTCAGTGCCTTTTCTTAACCTAGTTTTATAACTTGTTAGTGGTGTGAACAGCATTACAAATAAGTTAGGGAATAAGTCACATTCATCAAAACCATATCTATTGTTTTCCTGAAATGATCTAAAATTTAAAAATAGGTATAGAGTAAAAGGAGTCATCCTTAACCTCTAGCAGCTCAGAACACAATAAAGAAAGTCAAATGAACACACATTGTAAGTGTTTGATGAAAGTAGTATAAACAGCTAGAGGATATGTAAAAAAAAAAAAAAAGGCTTGAATAGAGTACATCAAGAAAGGCTTCTTAGAGGTGGAATGTTTGAAAAGGATTTTTAGGTGGGGTGTGTTTGTGGGGGGGGTGTTGCTTAAAGCAACTGAAATTTACTTAGTTTTGGATGCTAAAAGTCCAAAATGAAGCTGTTGGCTCAAGATTCATTTTGAAAGCTATAGGAGAATTCAATCTATTCTTATGAGAAAATTTTAAGGGTAAATAATGTAGTTAGGTAATATAAGTTGGCATTAGTTGGAGAAAAAAGTAAGTGCAATTGATATATGTTAGTGACCCCAGGAACTGGGAAATTTTAGGTATGAGCAGGAGTGATAAAACAAAAGGTAGATCATGTGCGTACAGGGCTATTTTAGAAATCATGGAAGCTACTGACTGATTTTAATAGAGGAATGGTATAGTTACATCAATATTTAACATGTTAACTATAGCAAACAAGGGGAAGATGGGTTATTTGTAGAATAGACAACGATAGGAAGGGAACTAACCTGGAGACTAATCTACTAATTCTGACAAGAAATCCAAATACATCACTGAAGGTAGTTCTAAAAGAATGAGGTACAGGTTCTGGACATAAAAAAAAAAAAAAAAAAAAAAAAAAAGCAAAATCTGTTGGATTTTGATTAGTTATATGGGAGAAAGATAACTCTCAAGTTCCTGCTCTTAATTATTGGGTAGTGTCACATATTGCTACAGTGGACACATGAGAAAACAGTCTTAAGATATCAAGATGATTGCCAACAGGTACAGAATAGAGAAAAAAAAAATCAGATTTGTAGAAGAAGAAGTAATGTAGGGTAAAATTGTAAGTACAATTTCAATTCCCTTGAGTGGATGGCAAACAGAAGTTGTTAGAAGAGTGTTTCTGAAAGAAGACGAACGAGTATAAAGTAGAGGAGGGCATTTTTGGTAGACAAGGAATAAAAATTATACCAAAAAACAACAAAAACAACATAGACATAGGAAGGTCCACCTTCTTTGGAGCAGTAACAGAGAGTAAGTGGCTAATTGTTCTGGTTTGCCCAGGATTGAAAGAAACTAAATCAACTTGCTATTGACAAATCTGATACATAAAAGAGGGTTTTTAAAGAGTTCCAAAATAAAAATAAAAAAGAGTTCAAAATAAGTTGAATGTTTATGTTACTTTTTAGATACTGTGTTATTTCCACACAATCATATTATATTTGCTTCTATTATATATTCCCTTTTTTGAGACAGCATCTTACTGTATAGCTCTAGATGTCTAAGGACTCATCATGCAGACTAGGTTGGCCTTGAACTCACAGAGATCCTCTCCCTTTTGACTTCTGAATGTTGGTATGAAAGATGTAAGCCACCAAACCTGGTATATTACTGTTTCTTAAACAGAGCATAATCAATACCATTTCTACCATGAGACAGTGCTTATTTGAATTTTGTTTAAAAGGAAATTCTGAAGCAATATTTTTAAATATTTTATTTTGTTTGTGTGTGCGTACGTGCATGTGTGTTGGAAGAGGGTGTCAGATTCCCTGGAGCTTGAGGTACAGGTGGTCTAAATAGTCCAATGTGGGTGCTTAGAATCAAACTTGTGTCCTCTGAAAGAGAGAGTAGCAAGAGCTCTTAACTGTTGAGCTACATCTCTAGATCTGAAGCAATCTTTAAAAAAGTATAAACTACAAGAACATTGCTGAAAATGTTGAGTATCAGTTGGAGATTTGGAAGTGAATTCTTCCTTTTATGGGATATATTTTATTTATTTACTTTTAAAAAACAGGTCATGGGGTCATATTTGTAGAACAGCTTCAGCCACACCAGGTTATGGATTATCTTGTTCTTTACAACCCAGGGATAGGTTCATTTGAGTGACATTTAATATTTTAATCTTATAAATGGATACAAAATATCGATATTCAACTGGGAAAGTCAATGTGTGATATTAGGAGTTAGAAACTATTTCTTCAGAAATAGATGTAAGGTGAAGATGATCTCATTGAAGGGGAACAATTGAGTGACGAAAGGTCTGGCAACTTACATAACCTTGCTATAAAAACTAGTTTACACTAGTCCTATAAGAGGCTTCCATTGAAAAGTTGAGACATGAGAATATTCCTTAAAAGTTAAGGTTTATGAAACAGCTACCAGCTTTAAAGAAAATTATAGAAGACATTTTCTGTACAGATTATTAACATGAATATTATATCCATATTTGTTCTTAAATTTATTGGATTGATTATAAACCTAGATAGATCACAGAAGAATGGCAGAGAAGACTAGAGAAACCCTATCACAAATGACAAGTGAGAAACACACTTTATGAAAATTTAGGAGAGCCCACATGTCACAATAAAGAAAAACAAACCCTCATGAAGTCCATGTTCCTGAAAGAGCCGAATGTCATGGAGCAAATGCCACTGCATACACAAGTCCCCAAAGCCAGTTCTACATTCAAACCCGAGAGCCCTCCTGCACACACGCTGTCACAGAGAAAGTTATACCCTGAAGGATGCTGTAGGCTGTGATTGGAGATGATGTCAATGGCAGCCTTCTTATACACTCTCATGAGAAATGGAGAATTGCCTAGATGAAGTGGTAGAAAGAAATGTGTTATATATTTGTTACACTGGGAATCATGCCTGTGGTATTTAAAAGGGCCTATGAAAATGTTATGATGGGATGATATACACCTATGGTTTCGAAAAGTCCTTGCTGATAGCCTAGTTAATTTGTGTTTTAGTAATTGCTTTTCCATAATGATTTTTCAAAGAGGAAAGTATTGTTTTTCATCTTCATGGAGGTAAGTAACCAAGACCCCCAGTAAGAACATCATTTCTAAGATAACTTTGTGGGCCTAAAATTTCCATATATATTTACATGAATATTTACTTATAAGAAGTATTTTATATTGCTTGAAAATCTTGATTAAAATTCCCTCAGCTTTTGGTGAAACCCCACTTATGATAGTGATAGTATCACAATACATGGCCATAGTATGTTTATGCTAAAGCTGTTATATTATGTTTCAAGCATTATTTACTCATTAAAACACCAAAATAACAAAGAAAATATCAAATGAAGAATATAGATGGCCCTGTAGTTCATTTGTTCAGGAATCCTTCTTATTGGGAGCTTCAAAGCTTTGCATTATTTTCATGGCTCTTTTCCTGAGTTCTTTAAGAGTTATGTATATTCTCTTTGTTGTATTACAGTATGTTTTTAATATAATCAGGATTGTGAATAATAGAAGAAATGCTTTCTTGACTGACAAAAAATCTCTCTACAAAGTCAGTTATAAAAGAAAAAAGTCATTGACAGTTATAAATTAGGAAATAGAAATTGTAAAGGATGGCTGTACTTTATTGACCCATTAAATTCAACATTATTAGGATATATATTTAGTCACATTATATCTTTTGAAACTTCCTAAAATTTGAAATCTAAAGATGCTAATTTGTTTACTTTTCTGCACAAATTGCTATTTTAGATAGTGCCATTTTTAAAGCAATGGCATCATGTATAATATTTTTATGATCAGAATTACACTGACAATATTGGTGTGCAAATATTTATAGCAACTACATAAAATATGTTGTTATAAAAAAAACTGATATCTTAAATTTCATATGCTATTAATGTCCCTTTCTTCAGAGTAATATATTTTTTCTTTACATCTATTCAACCTTTTTCTTGCTTTGGAATTCAGACTTAGCACATTATATAATCAAATGATGTCAACAATATTTTGGGAATTTACAGAAATTAGAAAATACAGGATGCTCTTGTTTAATAAACAAGGAGGGGAAATTAAACCTTAAGAAAACAAGAACATAGGTCTTATTTTATATTATATATATTTTTTAAAAAGCATGATTCTCATAATTACTATAACCTTCTGTAAGATAAGAATCTTAAGAAAAGCACAAGTAACAAAGAAACTAAGTAATCCTATCTTTCTTTTTGTTTTCAAGACAGGGTTTCTCTGTATACCCTTGGCTGTCCTGGATCTGGCATTGTAGATGAGCCTGGCCTTGAACTCAGAGATACTCTGCCTCTGCCTCCTAAATGCTGGGATTAAAGGCATGTGGCACCCACCACCTGGCTAAGCATTTTTAAAGATGTTAAAGATGGAACAAATCTTCCATTTTAAATATACATAAATGAAATAGTTTCTCTTTTCTTAAGTTTTTCCCCTTTAATAGTCAATTCTGGAAGGTTTTCTATGTGTTTGTATAATAGGAAGGGATCCTCACTAATTGAATTCAAATCTTCAGTATCAGTAACAAACACATATGTTCAAAGTAGCAGCTTTTCTTTAGACAACCTAAGCTTAAATTACCCGTTTCAGAGAAAGGTAGTAATAATAATCAAGTTGGCGATTTGAGTGCTAGCTATTTCAGTGGCTTCCAGGAGTACTGGAAGTCAAGTTATTTTGACAAGAATGTAGTTTCTCTTGAAACTGGTGTCTTTTTCCCTCTGATACTCTTATCCCTTTCAGCCAAGGGCAAAGTGCAAGGCAAAGTAAATTAAGGCAAAAGAAAAAAAAAAAGTGAGTGCGAGCATGTTATTGACCATGTAAAAAGACACGTGCAAAATATACCTCAGATACACTATAGGTAGATGAGCACGACGGAAGCCGAGCCTGGTTTTGCAGTGGAGAAAAGAAAACACTGTTAAAGAGGAAACGATAGAACAGTAAGGGTTTCAGAAGGTTTACATGGCTTTATCAACAACAAATTTGCCATATAAATAATAAAACAGTCTGACAAGGGGATACATCTCAAGACTCGGTTATTTGAAAGAGAACTTCATGATTAAAAAAACAAAGAAACATCAAAATCCAACCCAGCTAATATTCTTAAAAAAAAAAAAAAAAAAAAAACCAACAACAAAGTACAATTATAGAGCTGATACCCCTATTCAGACAGGTTGTTGTATGAACTTGCTGAGAAGGTGCTCAATTAAGGGAGAAAGAACAAAACTAAACATGTTTTTCCTATGGTGCCACACTGATCTTCAATGGCCTCCTATATCTACTGTACATCTCTATATGATTCTGCAAAAAGGGCAGGGAAGCCAGTTTAAATACTCTGATATACTTTCTTCTTATTTGATTTTCAGTATTAATGAACAACTCCCTTCTCTATTAATACATGTTGGCAACAACATAAAAATATAATATGTGTATATATATATGTATATATATACACACATACATAACATACATATATTCTTTCTCTGAATTTATTGTTTTTATGCACTGATTCCTCTGTGTGCGTTTCTCTCCCTCATGTTTTGAGATGGAGTCTGTCTATCTGGTTCAGTATGGGCTAGGACTGACCATGTAGCTTAGGCTGGCTTCTACATTTAGTCCTTTACCCATGCTAGGATTTCAGGTATGTGCCACCATGTATAGCTCACCAACGTTTTATAGTAGCTATTTTATTACTGTTCCTTAAAATAGCTATTTTATACCTAAAGTTGTGATTTCCCTGATCTAGCCTTGTCCCTGGCTTGTCACCGAGATCCAATGATCTTCCTTCTTCAGGCTCCTGAGTGGCTAACGCTACAGCACCATCACTCCAGGCTGACCATTATGACTTTGAAGAGGTTATGCTCTGTCTTGCTCTTAACATGTGATGAAGCATGTTAAATTTTGTGGCCTAGTATTACATTAATTTTTACTATGCCAAGTGAGCTGAAACAGTTACCAATGCATTATTTAGTTGTAAGTTCTGCATGAAGTTTAAGAATACAAAGTAGGGAATTGGAAAGGATGACAAAGTGAACAAACCAGAAACAACGTTATCAGATTTGCTATTTAACATATTTCTAGTACCTATATCAGCAGGATATAGTAGGTGTTCACTAAGTATTTACTGAGTTAAAGAATACACGAACTCTTTCCACCTATCACTAAAAAACTAAAGTAATTTTCTGAACTTTTTAAGTTTATTGTCTTAAGGATTTGGGATAAAGTAGCATTGCCACTTATGCTTCAGGTAGTTTCTAAAATACAAATGAAACATCTTTGCAACTTAGTACATTAATGTTTCCTTAGCAAAGAGATGGTTCTAAGGAGATCATGCTTTGCACACTTAATCTATTTAAAACAGTTTGAGAATCTTACCTCTTTTTTTACTCAGTTCTTATTTGCTATTACAAGGAAAACTTATCAAGCTGAAGTATCTTATTTTTGTATTAACGTCAACTTATTTTTGTCTTTATTTTTCAAGATGGGGTTTCTGTGTAGTTCTGGCTGTCCTGCAACTCAGAGATTCACCTGCCTCTGCTTCCCAAGTGATTAGAGGTATGTGCCACAACCACCAGGCTTAAAGTAAATTTTGAGAGGGGCAATTCTATGATGAGTAAATACCTTACTTCTATTTCAAATGCTTTTTGGTATTATAGTATTTGAAGTGTTTATCTTTTGATTTAAAACATAGGATAAATTAGAGCTTTATTATTTTCATTACAATGAAATCTCAGGAATAAGTTTTTCATGTCAAGAGAATTCTAATAGTGTAAAAATTAGTAAAAGTGGCCCATTTTAGATATTATTCCCAAGACTAAATTACCACCATCATTATTAAAGGCTAGCCATATTTATGACAGATCATCTACCACAAGGGTTAGGATTTTACTATAATTTAATTACTATAAAATGCAAAATTAATTTAAAAGACAGCTTATCCAACAGGATAGGCAGCTCAAACAATGTTTTATATGTGCCTGAAGAAAGTCTAATTAGTAAGGTCTAGCTTATTCATGTAAGGACTAATGCTCCAGCCATGTGTTCCTGCTCAGTATCAGTTAATTGATCCAATACAGACAATTTTTGAGATTACCAAGAGCTACATATTAAAGTACAGTGTATTGCTTTATCATGTCAGGGTACCTTACTCGATTTAAATTCCACTTCAGATGTTAGGTGAGTAATGAGACTCAACTCAATATAAAAGGTGATCATTTTATCTTTACTAAGATATAATGAGGTAATAAACATAAAAATGCAATGTTTGCAATGAAACACTGTAAAATATTTTTTAAAAAGTTTAGGAGAAGAATGCCTTTAGAGCTCTATTCCAAATCCTTATAAAGTACACCCTTAGCACAAATTTGTAATCAATATTTTGTATGACAGTTCCCATATTTGAAGGTTTAACATTAATTCTGTGGGCTTACGTGTGTGTGCATGTGTGTGAGTGTGTTGGATATATGTGGAGAGGGTAATTAAATAATGTAAAATTAAGAACAAAAATATAATGATAGATCATGTCAGGTTACACTGTGTCCTAAACAACTTTATTTTAGTTATGTATATGTACTCATGTGTGAGTATATGAACATGAGAATGGGTATCCATGAAGGCCAGAGGCATCTGATTCCAAGGAAATGTAGTTAAAGATAATTATAAGAAATTTAGTATGAGCTCTTGGAACTTATATGGGTGCTCTGTGAGAGCAATACTTAATCTTAACCTTTGAGCCATCTCTCCAGCCCTTTAATTTTTATTATTATTTTTTGGGTTTTGTTCAAAATATTTATTGGGTTACAAATCTTTCAATGTGTTTCCACGCACAATGACCTAAAGGTACTCTTTCAGTAATTCAGCAGCTCTTCTTGTCACAACTCTAAAGTAACACTATTACATTATAGACATACTATGTCTATGCATTCTTGACACACTAGACATTTGCAGGAGGACTCAGCAAGTTTTGGCTGTGAAATGTCCGAGAGCAAACACTGTAGTTCTTCCGAGCCGCATAATCTGCATTTCATCAGAAACAGCTGAAGCTCATATTCAAATGAATAGCAATTTTGATAAGTACTTATTTTAGAATATATTTACTAATGTAATTTTCACATGAAATGTTGATTTAACCCTCACATTTAAAAATGAGAAATAAAATCCTTAGTGTGTGGCCCTATAAAACGTAAGATTTGACCCACAGGGTGTAGTTTGCCAGGCTGTGAGTCACAGAACTTAATGGATGAACATGTACAAATGCTACCAATGATAAGACATAATAGTTAATAGGTAATAAATAGTTCATAAAATATAATAAATTAATTCAGAACTAAGACTGGAGTGAAAATACCACAGTAAAAGAAGGAAGAAAATACAGAAATCCAATTCATTACTTATAATGGCTTATTTAATACCAGCTCTATTTTAGAATGCAAGCAATTAGATTATTAAAAATTCAAACATTACTATTTAAAAAGTTTGTTTCCTTTTGACTTAATTCTGATTTTAAAAATATATACCTAAAACAACTTTCAGTTTTAGTGACATCCTTATGCATCGACTGATTTTTTCATTTTGTAACATTCCTTTACTTACATTAGCATGCTAAACAATTCTATTATTACATTTGTTTTGTTTTTAAATCATCTTTATATTAATTAATTTATATTCTAATAATCTTCCTTTGAGTCATATTCCATGTTATTGTTTTCCAAAACCTTTAAAAATGAACAGATTTAGTTTAACATTAATTTATCATGATCCTATACAGAGTATATATTAGATAAAAACACACACTTGTGGATGATGAATATTTGTATTCCTTTCCTTGTTTTTCTCCATATATTGATTTCATAACCATGTATCAACTATTCTTTCTAAATACTTTAATATTCAGATTCACCTTGTTCTTACCACTCTTTAACAAAGAAAGTTCATTGTGAATTTACTTGAACTTATATTACGTATACAAAGCACAGCTTTTGGTTATTTTATCCTGTTTTTTATTTGTAAAACTTTCTGGATAGGTGGTGATGGGGGTGCACACCTTTAGTCCCAGTACTCATGAGGCAGAGGCAGGCAGATTTCAATGAGTTCAAGGCCAGCCTGGTTTACAGAGTGACTTCCAGGACAGCCAGTGCTAAACAGAGAAATCCTGTCTCAAAAATACCCAAATACAAAACCAAAACCAAAACCAAAGCAATCCAACCAACTGAAAAAACAAAAAACACAAAACAAAACAAAAAACAAATTGTATGTACTGGCGTTTGATCTTGGAACATTACTTTTAATATTTTCCATACTAGGTTCACACATTTGATTAAGTGCAAAATTATTTTTTCCTCATGTGGTTTTATTTTTGGTCACTATTCTCAATACATTATAAATCTAAGGATATGTCTCATATTTTGCAATGATTTAACTAAGAAAGTTCTGATTACATATTAAGAGTAGTTGTACTACTACAAGTGTTAAAAAAAGAGACATTCACTTAAGACATAAATAAAATTTAGTATTACTTTCAAAATTCTAGGCTTCATACAGAGGTCTATTCTTTTTATAAATTAAAATACTGTATGTGTCATGACAACTGGAACATCTACGATTTAATTATATCCCTAACCTACATTTCTGAAATATACGTCACCAACCTTTTAGCTACCAAATATATAATTGGAAACAAAGATCATTAATCCATTAAACCATATTCTAATGACCACTTGCAATAAATTTGCACAAGATAGAATGGCCTTTGTTTGCCAAGTCAGTTTAGGACCAAAATCTCTTCAACTTTGTCTGATGCTTTAAGTAACAATTTTTCATTTGCAAAGCGCATTTTATGATGCACACAGATAATTGGCATTAAAGGGATGCAGAGAACAGAATACTCAGCTAAACATTTCATATGTATATTTTGTCCATTGAATTCACTAGGAAAGATACTATTTGTTTTTTAATAGTTTAATTTTTTAAGAGGATAATGACGTATTCATTAGGCAACTGGAATTTAATAGCTCTTTATCTTTAAAAAATGATTTGGTAGTTTATAAGATCTTTCAAATAATATAAACTATATTTAAAAATAAGTAATCAAGAAAACGTGCTTTAAAATTAAATTAACAACAAAAAACCGAAGCTAGTGAAATTAATCATTATGTAGCAGTGTTTTGTTGAAAATAGAAAAGTGGCATGCAGGCTGGCCAGCTCTCTAGAAAGGCCAGTGGAACAATTGTAGGGTCTTGAGGAGAGCCCAGACACCTGACAGAACCCCACCAGCCTTTGGCAAAATTTAAAAACACCACAGATTTTTCTATATCATAAGAATGTAACATTTTCAACAAACTTTTGACTAGGAAGCCAACTTTTTTTTTTTTTTTTTTTTCAAAAGCATGAGGTCTTTTATATGCATGGAGTTCGCAGCCATACTTCACGGGGCGGGGGTGTAGAGGACTGGGAACCCTGGTACAGGGTTCAGACAGCTTTTATAGGGTTACAACAAAGCCCACACATCACAAACCAATCATCTCATAGCATCCAGTGTGGACCAATCAATTTGAACTATCCAAGCCCATGCTTAGCCCAGGAAGTCTGCTTCCGCTAGGGCTTCTGGGTGGTGTGGCACGGCTCATTTCCTGTTCATATTCACTCACAGGTGCTGTCCGTAAACCGCCCTGTCATAAACAGTCAAGAATGACCTTTTGCTTCCTCATTGCTAGGGGGCAGAGTCTAGGGAAAATTAGGCTAAATTTTTCCATCCTTGCATTCCCCACTTCTTCTCTGGTTAAATTCTAATCTTAGAACTGGGGGGACTAAAAGGCCATAATTTGAACCCCAATCATTTGCTCCCTAACAAAAGTATCAGTGAGCAACAAGATAGGAATAAAATTGAGCAGTTCTAAGAGGCTGTTTCTGGGTCCCATAACTTTTGAGTGGCATTGGGTGAGTCAGAACATAAACTGAAATGGCAACTTGTTTTCTTTTCAGGGGAAGAGGACATATTCTAGAATGGCCACAAAGTGGGCCCCCTTCACCAAGTATCAAGGTTGCTGTGCGGTGACATCTAATGTAGATTGAATCTCCTCCAACTTGGAAGTGATGTGGAACTTTCAGAACTTTTATTCCATCAATTAGGCCTCCTGGAGCCAGGAAGCCAACATTTTATTTTGTTCAAATACATTTTCCTACCAAAATAGTTAAGTAAATATTATACCTATTTTTAAAATGTCCTGGAGATTCATTCTAAGGATTTTCTACTTGATAGATACATACCATAAACATATTTAAAGACCAGGAAATTTGTCTTTTTCTCCAAGCACAGTGTCCAATCTAAGGATGCATCTATATTGAAACAAATTAACTGAACTATGAGTGTTTTATTCTTAAGCATGTATCAAATATCTTAAAGATACATACAGTATAACTTTAAGTTCTATATATCTTAATACTGAACTTCAGTTACATACATTCATTCATACATGCAAATTATTTTATAATAGGTACTACAGTTATAGATGCCATTTTTAAGTTCAGTTAACTATCAATTATTTTTAGAACCTTTTATCTTCTTAGCTGAACCTGTGTATTAATCAATGGTGTAAACCACAATAGAATTACTGTGTCTTTAAGACAAATGTAGAGTATGATACAGCGAGGCATGCTATTGGTGTATCACTACATTTTATTGACTGAATTCTGCTAAGTACCCTAATTTTGAAACAGGCACACATCACCAGGTCCCATCCATTACAAAAGTAACTTTAAATGTAAAAAAATAACTACTATGAGGCAATGTTACGGAACAGAGAATGGCTTTTCTTAATAAAAAACACAGACATACAAACACAGGTTCATCCATGTGCATTCATGTTTGCACATACTCACAAACAACAAAAAGGTAAAACTAAGAAGGCAGAAGAATCAAGGGGAAGGAAAGAGTACAGAAATTCATCTTTTTAAAACTGTTAAGTGGAAGTAAATTGGAACTATGGAAAAATTAGAAATGACTGAATTAATGAGGCTTTAATACAGTTAGTGAATTTTATGACATCCCAAGTGCACTGAATTATTTGGTATTTTCACTAATTTCATAGTTGCTACTTCTGTGAGGATATTTGTGATTGAGATATAAAACAATGTTTAACTTTAATTTTGCCTGTTTTTTATAATTAACAATTTTCTAGCTTGTATTTATGGTGGCATCATTAAAAGTAGTCAGTGATAATTTTCTTTTAGCCTTTCATTGTGATTAAATAAATGATAAGAGTACCAAGAGTCTAATATATATTGACCAAGTGGAATTTGGCCATTAACAAATAGGATCATAAAATAAGAACCTTAACTGTATATTAGTGCATTATGTACAAATTGGGAAATATTTCGATATATATATTTCGCCTAATGTTACATTAACTTTTAAAGGTTAAAAAAATCAGAGGTAGTAAGAGTACTTTAACACTAAAATCTGTATATGGGTTCATTATAGTGGCATCATAAAGCATTTCTTCCTAGCTCTTAACATGATGTATAGCCAATATATGTTATTAATTCAAAATAACTTTTTATTCTGGAATGAATTAAGCTGGTAATGACACTAAAATAAAATTCAATGGTTTTAATAAAATAGGTTAAAAGAGGAGGTGACATTCTGAAAATGTATTAGTTTTCTGTTGAAGAGGAATTTTAATACATAACCGGTGACATCAGTCAGAGGAACGGTTAACTCTAGAGCCCAAATTGCAGGCACATATAATGAATGAGGCAGATGCCCTTTCTTGTTTGTGGTGCCTTTCAAAGCTAGTTATTTGGCAGCTTGCCTTCAGCTGGTTGCTCTATGTGTAGCTGAAAACAAAACAAAACAAAAATAATATGACCCAACAGCCAATAAAAATATTAAAATAAAAAATGGGATGGTGGAAAATGGAAAAAGCCCCCTTCCTCCTCCCTCCACCCTCCAAAAAGGAAGAAGTGTAGGCTATAGACAAAATCTTGCCAAAAAATGTTAGAAACATATTTACTTTGAGGGATCCAACTCTACTAGCAACTCCTTTGCTTTCATCCGGCCGTCTAATTTGCTACAATGAGGGAAGATGGGTAAAAAAGACAGAATAAAGAAAAAGTGAACTTAAATTTTTTTCTACACATTAGTAAGCAGTACATGCAATACATCAATTGACTTAGGCTCCTCTTATAAGATTAAGGAGTTAACTAACCCAGAGGCTATATGACATGCTCTGCAAATAGATCTCTAGAATTCAGTTTCTGGTACAGCACTATTCCTGAGAGGAGGAAATTGGCACTTACTTTTGATTATCTTGGGGACTTCTGATGAAGCAGTATCTGGAGTAGTGTTACATTTGCATTTAGCTTACAAAAAACAAAGAATTACAAATATACCTATGCATGTTTTCTCTTTAAGTGTATAAATGACTATTCTATTGTAATATCAGAAAACATCAATGGTATGACAAGAAACATGAGTGTTCTTTAAGTGGAAAATTCAGTCCCAACAAGCAACATTCTTACTGGTGACAGTGAGGTTCCTCTGCTTGCCAACTCAAGCATAGAGGTTGTTCAGCTGTCGTTATGACTCTCAATTAAACAATTATGCTGCCAATCAGAAAATTTTAATGCCAGACCAATGCTAGATATATTCACTACTTCAAAGCATCTGAATCTTTCTTTCAGATAAAACAGGAGAAATAAAGCCTGGTGTGGTGGTGTGCACATATAATGCTAGTTCTAAGGAGTATTCAAAGCCATACTGAGTTATAAAGGATACAAACACACACACACTCTCTCTCTTACACACACACACACACACACACACACACACACACACACACACACACACTTACTTAGCAAGATTCAGACCAAGTGGTCTTATACTTAGTCCTGTACTTCAGTTGGAAGTAGTCTCATTCTAATCAGCATTATTAAGTTAAGTGTGAGGCTCATTCTTGTGTTGGCAGACACCATGAGATGCATGATGACATATCCTAGGTGTTAAAGTTCTTAGAAAAATAATATAACTGACTATATTACAAATTTTATTCTCTAGAAGCAGGGTACAGATTCATGTTCAGGTGTCTCAGAATATATATAGGTTACAGGGAAATACTGAGATAATAAAATTTCTAGTTAAAAAAACAAACAAAAAATAAGCAAACAACCCCACAAAACCCCAAAACAAACTGACAAGCATCTTAATACACAAGAATTATATCAATATTTGAAATGAATAGGTTTTTTTCTTTTTCTTTTTCTTTCTTTCTTTCTTTTCTTTTCTTTTTTTTTTTTTTACAAATTATTTGGCATCAACTGTTTTGGTAAAAAGGCAATCAATTCTTACTTTCCTTTGTGAAAAGGAATTGGCAAATTTAAAAATAACTGAAAAGAACTCCAAATAGAGAATTAATTTGGTTCCCAACATTTACTCTTTCTCTTCTTTCATTTCTTTCACCTTAAAGAACATCTTACACCAAAGGATGTCAACATCAAATGGAAATTAAGAGTACCTGGATTATAAAGATACTCTTTGCAGTTTCCTATAAAAATACAGAACATAACGACTTATATTGCTTTTGAAAAACATTTACAAGTTCAAGTGATAACAATTTTCTTTATTGTATTTTTTGTCTAAAAATATTAAAATTACATTAAGTCAGATAACATGAAGTGTCTTCAAGATTTCAGCAGTTCTTGACCTCTGCTGGTTGATAGTTTAAAGTTATAGTCCCTTAATAGGTCTGGAAATATAGAGAACTGAAAAAAGATGCTTATAAAATGGATATGTATATGCCTATGTATTTTCCTATTTGTGATATGATTGAGACAGAATCCTGTTGTGTAACCAAGTTTGGGCTGGAACCTCCTGTATAACCTAGTCTGGCTTTCAATGCACAAATCCTCCTGCCTCAACTTCCTGAATGCTAGGATTATAGGTATATGATATGACGTCCAGCTTTATGGACTAAAATTTACCTTCTACTATATTTATAGATCATAGAAATGTTTTCTAAGTTGTTTCTATTACAAATTCAAGTGTGAGCACAGAAACTTAGTAGTCCGCATGCCCAGCCTCATCTGAAATTGGAAGCTAATCGGAGGATAGGGAGATTTATATAGATTACAGGGATGATATATAAACTTTTTGTTTATATTTTATTTTCTTTTATTTTTGAGATTATACTATAATAACACAATTTTTCTCTTCCTGTTCCTCCCAACAAACCCTCCTATATAACATTCCTTGCTCTCTTTGAAAATCATGGTCCTTTTTCATTAACAAACAGAAACTTTGGAAAGGAAATTGTCAATGTTCAACTTCAATTTTATGATCACAGTCTTTAAAGTTATTATGGTGAAAAGTCTTCAGAAAATTAACACAATTCTCAAAGAAGTGCTTGCAATTTAAGTTTCATGTGAATATTTTTTGTGATTCTAGAAACAGATAATAGTATCTTACAATGACAACAACTCAAAAGAATAGGGAAAAGTGAAATTAGTAGACTGCATGTGTGTGCATGTTTGTATGTGCATGAATGTATGTCAAAGTCATAGAACAACCACAGGTGCTGTTCCTCTGGTGACATACACTTTTTATTTTGAGACAGTCTTCTATTTCCTTGAAAAATCACCAAATAGAGTAGTCTGTCTACCCAGCAAGACCAATAGATGTATGCATGCCACTGCCACCCCAGTAATGTGACTTCCATTGTTTTTATACAACAAAGCTGTGACTCTTTTCTGTTTTGATTTGGGGATCACACTCAGGTCCTCATGCTTGCTTGTGACACAAATGCTTTTCTGAGTGAGCTGTGTCTTCAGCATGAAATCAATATATTTTAAAATTCAATGTTCTAATGTATTCTAGTCAAATTTCAATGGTCAATTATAAAAGACTAGTATGAAGGAAGTTTACAGTTAGTTCAAATATTTATTTTTTAATGAGAAAGAGAAGTCACAGAAGAGTAGCATTAGGAATTTGCTTTTCATCATAATGTTAAGAGTCTCACCTTGTTATCTACTTTTATTCTTCTTTAGAGAGGTTAAACTGTATAATGTTTATAGCGTTTGACTAAACTTTATCCAAAATTGGTGGGAACAGATCTAGTTAAAAATTTGGAGTTTTTAGAGTATTGAACAACTGCATAGACAATTGGTTAAATATCTCTCAACTTGAAATGCAAAATGCTCTGAAATCTAAATCTTATGCAATGTCCATCATATAAAGTATTCCTGATTCTTTTTTTTTTTTTTTAGTATTTTAGACCTCTGTCTTTTGGGTTATGATGGTCAATCTGGCCCCTCTAGTAATTTTTTTTTTTTTAATTTCTAGGAATAAGTTGAATGGTTAAACAAAAAAAAATTTTTTTTTGGTTCTCTCCCTTTTCACCCTCCCCGACTTTTCCTTTGCATGTTATACAGACACTATATTTCATAATCTCATGGCACTGCTATTGTAGTATACTGACAACAATTTCAAATAATAATGAACCTGAAGGCAATAGTTATGTTTTTTCAAGTTTTTAGAAGATTTCTAGTGAGGATATTCTTTTGTTCATGTGTCTTTACTGCATAAATTTGTTTTTTGAAATGTTTCTTCTTGATTTTCAGTCTCCTTATTTTCTTTTGCATGATTAGAAAGGCTCCAGCAAAAAAAATTAAAGATTTGTTGTGAAAGTTTTATTTTCAAATCAGCTGCATTATTGCTATATCTTCAGCTGATGTGGTGAATGATACATGACATACACTAAAATTTTCAGTGAATAAATTTCACAATGAGTCTGTGTCTTCTCAATTAAAATAGAATGAATAGTTAACTCTGAAATTTGGGCCAGTCCATATATAATTTTAGAATATCTATCATTTTATAATATGAAGTAATAATGGTTTCATTGAAATATACTATATTAAAATAACCAATGGGACCTGGTATTGATCCAGATTGAACTGCAATATTAATGCTGCACAGGCCATATTTTTTAAATCTGTTTTCTGACAATATGCTTGAGCCACAATGCCTAACTGTATGAAAGAATTTTTTTTTTTACTATATTTACACACCAAAGGAATATTTTTAAAATACATGTAGGAGTCAAAGATATTTTCTTCATCTAAAACCTTTCATTTGTAATTTTGCTATTTCTTTTATTTCTGTAATTCGTTTCCCTGTGTTCCAATTTGTACAAAACTCAAGATAATACCAAGAAAATTCAAAGTTTCATTCAGAAGATACACACTTAACCACAATGAAACAGATCTTAAGTGGAGCTAATATACTTTCAGTTAAAAATCTTAATTTTGTTACTAGTATAAAATACAAAAGTTTAAATAAATAAACCTAAGTTTTATTATGTTAACTGAAAATTAAGAAGAATTCAAAGAGAAATAACATTTTTATTCAGTTGGCTGAAAAATATGATCAAAGATAAGGAGGACCTGAAAAGGCAATCCAATTTAAAATCTTCATGTTAAAGAGTCAGAAACTGAACTCCATTAATTCTCAGAAAGATGTAAAGTTTCACATTAGAACTTACTTTGAATACTTTGTGTCTCTGCAATAATTTTGCATATTCAATATTATCTTTTCATATGATATTGAGTCCATAATTTTTTTTAATTACTGAAATTTCTTTAATAAGTTGAACACAGCCAAATATTTTTTGCTTAATTTTCTATACTTTTCTAAGTCGAACTTTCATAAAGCCTTTTCGGGCTAACCTAAGAATAACATGTCAATTATTATGACTTCATGCAGAGCTGGGAGGGGGAACTATCTAAGCTACAATGAGAACTAATGTCTACCTAGCTTGTTTTGAGGTTAATGGTTTCCTCTGTGATGTGCCATTGGGATCCCTATATACCAGCCAGTTCTTATAACCTCAGTAAGAGGAAAAAGTCACAGTAGGAACTAAATTTATATCTAAAAGTGTGGCAACAGAAAGAGTGTCGTGAGGGTGATAGAAAAGTAGGAAATCTTACAGACCATGAGCCTGCTTCCTGGCAGGTGTTTAAAACCAGAAAATATCACCCCAGAGGAAACCAAATCAGCTACCAATAGAGCCACAGT